CTGGAGCTATCTAACTGCAAAACCATCAGCAGCTTATTTGTACTGTGCCCTAGTTTCTCTTTTATTTTTGAGACAAGGTTTCATTGTACATTTCAGGCTGGCCTTGAGCTCACCTAGTAGCCTAGGTTAGCCTCAAACTCGAGCTCCTTCTGCCTCAGCCGCCTGAGTGCTGGGGCTACAGGAGTGGGCCACCACACCCAGCCTTCTTTTATTTATTTATTTATTTATTTATTTATTTATTTATTTATTTGCAGAACTAGGGATTGAACTCAGACACTTGGGCTTGCCAGGCAAGCGCTTATTCTACTGAGCCATCTCCCCGGCCCCAGGCCTTCTTTAATTTAAAGATAGGAAGTATAAGTCATAATTCATGAGGTTGTTGGAGTAGAATACCTTGTAGAATACCATGCAAGCCCCAGAGTGACATACAGTAGCGAGGTTTTGTGGTCTGTTTTGATTTTTCCCTTATGCGTAGACCACTGGTCCACTCCTTACTCCTTCTCCTCTTCGGTATTTTTTTTTTTTTAACCACTGTCTCCTTTAACTGTAATTCTTTAGAAAAGAACTAGCAGGATTAAAAAATCAGGCTGCACTTTGGATTAAAGATGCATACGATATGTGGGTCTTTAAGACGACTGTTCATCCCGGGGGTCCTGTTTCTTCCCTTTCCCTTGCTTTGCCTGAGCAGAATTATTCTTGAGCCTCCACAGGCTGCTGAGCTTCTCTCCCTTTGAGGCCAAGGGATAGACTAATAGCATTTTCTCAGCTCACTGAGCTCTCTGCTTTTCTATGAAGGAATTTCTGAATGACCCAGAAAGGAGTGGTAATTTTCACAGAGACATGTCCCTTTTATTTTCTGTCATACCCGAGTGCCTTGTCCCTCCATGCAAAATATGCATGAATTTACTTGTGAACAAAATAGCCCATGAATTTTTTCATACAAACATTTTTAACACGTTTTAACTCCAAAGTGCTCACTGTTCTCTCTACTTTGTGTCTGAAATTTTTATCTTCCCTATTCTCAAGTCTTTTCTTAAGCCCCTTTCAATTCTATTTATATAATCAAAAAACTAGTAGAGAGGATAGCAAGTCATTCTGAATGTTGCTAAGGCCATCAGATTTGTAGAAACACTTCTGCCTATCCAGTGAGCTGCTGGCATCCTTATTAGCTCTGTATTGACGTGGCTTTTGCTTTGTCAAGAGCCTGACCGTGTTATCATGGGAATAATTGGTTGATTAATATTATGTAACAAAAACTCTAAATAGCAGCACAGAATTTAAATTACATGTAAGGATAGAAGGGAGAAATAAAGGGACATTCAGCGGTCTTGAGGGTAGAAATAGACCCTCCAGTTCTCATTACTGGAGCATAGAGAGGCATTTTATTTCTTCTCAGTCTTGCCCTCCCAGTGTGGCCATTTTCAGGAAGAGCCAGGGGTCTTTTCACGGATATAAGTGAAAAGGATGGGAGGATGAGGTGAGTGAGCTGTGGCCCACGCTAGTTCCTGAAGTGCATCTGAAGTCTCGAGTGGACTGGGCTTTCAGAGCATTAAAAAGTTAGTACACATAAGCCCTTCGATTTACCTGCTCGCTAAGACTAGAAATACTCAAGGTATAGCCAGATGTTTTTCTACAACTAGACTTCAAGCGTAGAATTCTTCCTTGTTTTCTGTGGGTTCTCCATGCTACCACCTAGTGGATTAAATGCAAGGCTGCTCGTCAGGAAAGGAAAGAGAATTGTTTTAGCTGCTGGGGATGGAACCCAGGGCCAACTGCATGCCAGACACTGACTGGGCCACCGAGCCACATCCCCACGCCTGAACCCTGTGGAATTTATCACAAGAAAAAATGTCCATAATGATGTCATTGTTCTTTCTTTTAATGTAATGCAGCAAGTTAAATAAAACACATGAGTTCCAGGAAAAAAAAATATTCCCAAAGGGGGAAAAAAAAAATATTCCCAAAGGGGCTGGAGAGATGGCTAAGTAGAGTAAGTGCTTGCCTGGCAAACGCAAGGGCCTGAGTTCAATCCCCAGTTCTGCAAATAATAATAATAATAATAATAATAATAATAATAATAATAATAATCATCCCAGGCATACATGTGGAATTTAATAAAAATATTGGCTTGTCTACAAATAGGTTTATTTGTTGAGAAACTTAGGTGCTACATACATTTTTTAAGACAGTGTCTATTATAGTTTATATGAATTATATTGAAACTTGCCTCTTCATTCTTTCCCTCAGGAGTTCATTAAAAAATGTAAAATATACAGCTATGGAGCCCACATGAAATGAAGGTGTTATTGTACTTATCTATTAGGTAAATAAAAAAACACAGATCAAATAGATTTTCTCAATGCTGGGAAGACAAGCACAAGTGTGCCGTTAATGCCAACGTTTTCCCTTCCAAAGAGTGAAAGCTTTCAGGATCTTCATCCTTATTTTCTTTTAAGGCCACCATTGAACAACAAACAAGGACCAGAGAAAAAGCAAACTCTGTTTGTTCTTACCCTGTCTTGGTTACTCTTCTCTCATTGCTGGGACAAATATATTACATTCAGCCTGTCCGCCCCTGGCTGGTGTAGCACTCACACCCGTAATCCCAGCGCTACTCAGACCCATAATCCCAGCCGTGGATCATGAATTAATCACAAACTGTAGAACTGACCCTCAATGACTTTTGTGAGGCTCTGGGGGGACAAATACACATAAACTATAACACACCCTCAGTATCATAGTTTGTACTGCAGCTGCCCTTGGTCCTCTCATGCCTGTGCGAGGCTGTTGGAGTGACCCTCTTATTTCCTAGGCAGCCACACTGTTTAGATGGGATCAAGATGTACACATGAACTGTTTTCTTTTTCTTTTCAGTATATGTATTTTATTGGCATACATTAAAATGTATAAAATCTTAGTTTTTGTTGTGGCATTTCATCCATGTATATATTTTGGTCATGCCCATACCTCCTGTTACCTCACACAGGCCCTGCTTTCACTTCTCCTTACCCCCTTCTGCGTAGCCTAACAGTCTGCTTTCTTCTTTTCTCTTTTTCTTGGTACCAGGAATTGAACTCAGGGCCTCACCCTTGCCAGGCAAGTGCTATGCTGCTGAGCTACATCACAACCCTGCTTTCTGCTTTTCATGCAATCTTTTTTAGTTTCCACATATTAGGGGAAAATATGCAATACTTGTCTGAGTCTGGCTTATTTTGTCTAATGTGCTGATCTCTGGCCCTATCCCTTTTCCTGCCAGTGGTAGGCTTTCGTTCTAAGTTGTGGCTGCATTGAGTGTATGTACACCAGTTCATTTGTCCCTTCGTTCTGGGCCCCTGGGCTGGCTCCACAACTTGGCTGTGGGGAGGTGTGCCACAGTAATCGTGGGTGTGCAGGTGTGTCTGTGAGCTGTGCTGATTTTAGTGCTTTGGGTATATCCCAGGGAGTAGCAGAGCTAGGGCATAGCATAGTTCTGCTTTCAATTTTTTTGAGGAAAAACATTGTCAGGGTTATTGTAATGGTCAGGAATATTTTACCTACCTGGCACTTGGTGACCTAGGTGCTAAGCAGTGGTCCAGGGATTGCAGGACAATCAGTAGGAGAGAAAGTACAATGGAAAGTCCGGTCAAAAGATTCCAAGGTTTCAGGGCATCTCATCTCATATGACAGAGACTCCAGATCATCTGGAAATGAGTTCCCTCTTCTTCTGCTCACTATGTGACAAACTCCTGCCTGTTCCCCCAACCTGCTAGACCCAGCTGCAGCAAAGGTTACGCCCTCAGGGTTTGTACCTGTCTCCTAACAGTCCTGACCTCTTCCTTGTTGCCTGTGGTTAGGATTACACAGCACAGCCCGGTAACCTTTTTTATGTTTATAAATATCGACCTCAAAACTTTCCATTTCTCGATTTTCTTCATTAATTAGCCACTTGCTGTCTCCCTCATTATTGCTTTGTGTTGAAGGAATGTGTATGTTCGTTCACACTGCTGGCTTTTGCCTTCCGAGTACTTAAGATAAGGGCTGCGCCTGTCTTTTTTATTTATGAGACAATTGTTGAATCACTCTTCCTGTCTTGTTCCCCTAGTACTGGGGACTGAACCCAGGGCCTTTGCACTGAGCTACGTCATCCTTAGCCTATTTTAAAAATGTACTTGTTTTGCCTGCTTGCTATCCTAATCTAATCTAATCTAATCTAATCTAACCTAATCTAATCTATCTGTCTGTCTGTCTATCTATCTATGTATCTATGTATCTATCTATGTATCTGTCATCTTGAGCCAGGGTTTTACTATGTTGCCCAGGCTTCTCTCAAGCCAGCATTCCTCCTGCCTCAGCCTCCCAGAGTGCTGGAATTACTGCTATAGCCACCACGCCCAGCTGAGTCAGCTGTCCTTCTCTAGGAAAGCTACAGTGTTTCTCTCTGTTGTGCAACATCAGCAGGTGTGGTCAGGGCCCACTTGCTGATCTCCGCACCTGCTGGAGGCCCTCCTGATCTGGAGCAGGTGTTGGAGAAGCAAATATGTGACATTGCTAAAGACTAAAACTTAGTTCTTCCCCTCAATTTTTTTTTTCCTGGTATCTGGAATTGAACTCAGGACCTTGTGCTTGGCCAGCCAGGCACCGTGTTTCTGAACTATATCCCCAGCTTTTCCCTTCAATTTTTAACCAATTTTGAAGTGTATGACATAGCTGGTGGTTAAAAATAAGCCTTCCCTCTAAAATGCTATTAGCAACAAGAATTCCTTCAATTTTCCTCTAAAATCTTAAGCAAAGAAAAATGAAAATGTATCTGTGGCATTTTCTCTTAGAAGACCCACAAAGACTTTCTTTCCTTCCTTCCTTTCTTTTTTTTTAATAATTTTATTGAGAAACATATAGCAATTCCACAAAGGCTTTCTCTCACCAGCTAGCCCCTTCTGAAGGACACATACGGCCCACTCTGTACTTTCACACCATTGGCTACGTGATAAATTACAGATGCGTGTGCTTTGACTCTCTTGCAGCCTTCACTTGGCATCAAGAAGCCCACCAAAGCGCTGCTCTTCGTAATCCTGAGCCCAGTGGGGCCTTATTTTTCCAGCGGATCCTTCAAGCCAGTGAGCCTGTGGGCCAGCACGCAGTATGTCCGAGCCTGGCAAGGTGGAAATGGAGACTGCAAGTTGGGAGGGTAAGTCAACATGTCTCTGTCTCCAGAAAATTGTCTTTGCTGACCATCTTATAATTGCATTTCACAGCAGTACAAACACACGTAATAATATTTAAATGTGGATGTTCGTTTTTTAATTTCCTGCTTCCTTCTCCATGTTTCAACTAAGACACTTGTTCAAAGGACCACTGGTGGGCGAAACCACCATAAGGGAAACGCGGTGGATCGGCTGTACCTCGGCCTGCCTGCGCGTCCCCCTGGAGCTGTCTTCATGGCAGCAGCTTGTAACTTATCCTGCTGTGACCTGGCTGAGGAGCAGCCCTGCTTTGGCTCTTAGGCTGGTCTCTGGCCATATGTAGCTGACAGCAAATAAAAGAGCATTTGAAAGTGCCAGACAAGCTCGGGGGTGGACTTGGCCTCAATGTGGAAATACCCGTTGGGGTCAGCATAACTGGATTGAGCAGGCTGGTCTCTTGTTCATCCGGGTCAAGGGATAATGCACACCACCTATGCCTGGGTTAAGTATTGGGTTCCAGAAGGTCAGAGTCTGACAGGTTGCTAACGTAGTAGAGGAATGGGGGAACTGTTGTGCAGTCTTGGGGAAAAAGGAATTTTCTGTCACAGTATGGTAGGGACACAGCGTGAGAAATTGGATCTGAGAAGACAGCACTGAGCAGGATGTAATTCAAACTCACCGGGGTAAGTTTATGCCCCAAGGAAGATGGTGTGGCTACCAAGGTGACTTCACTCACAAAAGCCAGCAAAATGTGCAGAGGGAGGACTCATCTTTAGATAGTACCACTCATTGTCTCTTTACCTAGATCGAGGAGATAGTACTGTTTTGTAGTAGTTCTAGTGGTGTGCTTGCTTGTGTGCACAGTAGTACCTCGGTTCATGAATGCCTCTGTTGACAAACAATTCAGTGTTCAACAAAATTTTGCTTCCATTCACAGACTTCCCACTGGGTGACAGACAGAGCCAAGGCTGTCTTCCCTACATAAACACAAACACAGCCTTCTTCCCCAAAGGTGTAAGCCAAGTCAAGCTCACAAGCTGAGGTACCGCTGCACTTCCTAGGGCTTTATCATCTGAGGATGGGGTCAGGATTTATTCCACGGCCTCCACAGTTACTGTGGTGCTTTTCAGACTGGTTCACGGATATCCTCCACAAGCTAGGAAAGGTGAACAGGGGCTTCAGGAGATAAGAAAGTATCGTATTTATTGGAAAATGATTATATTTTATCTAAATATTTATACATATTTTGTAATATACTCTATGCTTTTCTCATTTGTTTTTACTTTAAAATATTACTAAAAATTACTAAAATACATTGTCATTCCAGGAAGATGAGCTATGGCAGCACGTCTTTAATCTTTAAATAACCCAGAATAAATCATGTGGGTTGAGAAAAAAATAAGCCTTTAGATATGTTTTGCCCCCCCCCCCTCAAAAAAATCATGTTTTTGACCCACCAGTGGGGATTTTAGACATTGGGCATTTGGTGTGTTTTAGATAAAAAGGTCTTAGAGGGGCTGGGGAGATAGCTCAGTAGTCTGGGAACCTGCCTGCCAAATGCAAGTACCCAGGTTCAATCCCCAGTACCATATTTTGTGCAGCCCTAGGAACCCTGGGTGTGCCAGGCTGGCCCTGAAACTGGACATGGTGGTGCACACCTGTAATCCCAGCGCTGGGGAGACTGAGACAGGAGGATCACTATGAGTCTGAACTGCTTAGTGAGATCCTGTATGAAATAAATAAGTAAATAAATAAGAAAAGGTCTTAGATTAGAGAGCATTTGACTGGCATTCTACCATTTAACTTGCTGTAACTTGATTCAGGTTACTTCTCTGAAGTGTAATTTCTTATCTCAACAACAGATTTAATGATAGTGGCTACTTTGTTGGATACATGTGAGGTTGAAATAATTCGTGTGAAATCACTCGGTGTGTCTGAAAAACTACTCAATAATGTTTAATTGTTCTTAAGTTGGCTGTTTACCTGTGTTCCAGCATTGCTTTTCATGTGGGTGTTCCCAGATTTTGTTTTGCTCTCTCAGATGAACGCAGTGGGTCCAACCAGGCTGTTTTGAGTTTTCTTTAATGTTAGGGAATTAACCAGAGAGAGTATACACAGGAGATGCCATACACTGACTACATCCACCTGTGAATTCAAGAATGGTCCTTAGATTGAGGATGGTGGGGTTGAGTGATACACACTCACGATCTGTCTGTCCCCTCTTCCTTGAAAGGAATTACGGCTCCTCTCTTTTTGCCCAGTGCCGGGCGATGGAGAAGGGATGTCAGCAGGTCTTGTGGCTGTACGGAGACGACCACCAGATAACTGAAGTTGGAACGATGAATCTTTTCCTTTACTGGATAAATGAAGATGGAGGTAATCCACACAGACAGCAGCTCTGTACTTTTTCAGTCACTTTCAGTGGGACTGGAAGGACAAAAACTGAAAAATGAGGACAAGGATAGGGGTAGCCCAGTTCCAGAAGCTAAGAATAGTGTGTTTCAGCTGTCACGTAGACATGAGCCTAAAGAACGTGGAGAGGGTTGCTTTGTTTTCTTTTTTTGTTTGTGGATTTGTTTGAGGGGTGTGCGCGCTAGATGTACTAATTATAGAGATGTCAAATTAAGGGATATTAGGTCACTGTGATTCAAAGATCTGCTGCCCCCTCCTCATTGCTAGCATTCTCCTGCCTCGACATGTTGCATTTGGAAAAAGGTCTCAGATCAGCTGAGTGGCCATTCACCGTATACTAGGTAAGAAAGAGTAATAAAGGCAGTCTGCACATTCTACTGACAAAGAACTTATTGTGTATGTGTATGTCTGTGTATATATAGGCTGTTGACATCTGCATATATATTAATTACATACCCAGGCCTACTCCATACTAAACAAGCACCCTCCCACTGAGCTACACATGCCCTGCCCTCCTTCTGTTAACAATTGTTGCCTTTTCCAAATAGTTTGATAATTTATCAGAAGCCCTCCATTTGATTAAAGTAGTGCTAAGACAAGCCATTGTATCCTGAGATTTGCTGCTAAGTCCAAGTCAAACATGCTATTATTACAGGCGTACTATGGAAATCGGTGTGTTCTCCTTTAAAATCTTGAATGTTCACTATCTTTCTACTCTTCTTTGTTTTAGTTGCCAGAGACCATAGGGATTTAGTGACACGTTGGCTGTGTGTGGCATTAAGTTAAATGTTCAAAAGGGAGGAGAAAAGTACATGCACGCTTATTTCCATTGGAATTTTGAAAGTCGGCCGAAGTTGAGAAACACGTAATTTTAGGCTTGTTCATGCTCTTAGACTGTCCCTTTCACAATGAGTGCAGGGACGCAAAATGCAAAACATTTCCAAGTACTTGCAGTCACAGTATTGGCTTAAAAGAATATTTTTTAAAATGAAATTTGTATCTAGCGGCAGCCTCTGTTGCTTTTCGGTAATTTGGCTGAGATGGACGGAAGTAGTGATTGAGATGTCGCTGAATTCGCACCTGTGACTCCCGCCGAGTGGCCGCCTCTGCTCTTTGTTCTTGGCACTGTTTGAAAACAAAGCTTATGCTGCAGTATTTATGATTCCTAAGTTTGAGTTTTTGCGTATACATATGTCAAAAGTTACACCAGGAAGAATTCGATCAGGGTCGAACCCTGCATTTAGGAGATAATAAATTATACTCCTTTCCCAACCGCCTGCTACTGCCACCCCCCAGAACATCCCATGTGTGGCCCAAAACAACAAGAGGTGGCATCATTTGGAAGTGGAACTGTAATTACTTATGGATGGGAGATGCCAGAATCTAAGCATCACCTGAGTCAGAGCTACGTGACTTAACCAGAAACTGTCCCGATGAAAACTTGTTCTTCAGCCAAACAATAATCTTGGAACATTTTTACTCTAGCTTTTAAAAGCCAGAGTATAACAAAGTGAGTTTCTCTTTTGCCTCTGGTAAAAAAGATAAAATCCTTAAGAGTTATCCTTTAGTGCTTTTGCCCTAGACAATTTTAAGTTCACTGTGTTCCTTGAACCAGTTGTGTGGTTGTTTGTTTGTTTGTTTGTTTGTTTTGCCAGCACAGCCCATGCTGAGCGTGGGGCTGGCATGACGTGTGGTACTTGGGATTGAACTGCAGTCTCCTGTACCTGCCTCAGCTTAACTAAGTAGGAGCTTTAGACAGCTGAGCTATCTCATCGGCCCTTGAACCAGTTGTTGACCACAGAGGTCAAATAATATTTGAAATAAGGAGAAAGGATTTTTTTTTTTTTTTTTTTTTTGGCTATAAATGCCTTCAGGGCAGGTTTGGCTGGCTTGAGTTGTGGGGATGGAACCACAGCAACCTGAGCCTGACTGCTTTGATGAAGCAGCCACTTAAGAACTGTGCTAAGGGGCAGGCCCCCTGAAATAGGAGAAAGGAAATGGAATGGAACAATACTGTGAAAGGGGAAAATACAATGTCAGCATGCACCTTCAGGATTAGGGAAAAACTTTGAATCAACTTGACAGAGCGACTTTAACCATGGGGCTTTCAGAAATGAGCAATCATACTAAGTTGAAAAATCTATAAAATACTGACTTCACAAGCAGGAGGCTTAAGCAGAATTTTTTGAATTATCTTTTGGAAAAGGAGCTGGCATAAAGGTAGAGAAGACAGACCACGTGTGTTAAAAACACAGGGAGGTGCCCAGTAGTTATTTGTGGCATGTGGCCTAGAACACATGGGGATCTTGACGCCAGTAGCCATGGTGGTGGCCAAGATTGTGCATCCTCTTTACTTTTTTATTTTATTTTTTGGCAGTGCTAGTGATTGTACCTAGGGCCTTTCCACTGAGCCACATCCCAGCCACCACTGCTCACTCCTTTCTTTCTTTCTTTCTTTTTTTTTTTTTATTGTGCATCGCAAAGTTGGCTTTAATCAGCAGTACCTTAAAGCCAGTACCTGAAACATCAGAGGGGTGTTTGCAGAAGAAATGTTCAAACATTTGATCATGTGACTTGCAGGTTCATACTTTGACATGAATTCTTTGATGATGACTGTTTTGCCTTGAATTTTTTTATTGGTACATTTTATATATACATAGTGATAACATTCATCATAGGGGAATTGTACCTTGCTTCAAACAATAGTTTTAAGCATCTTTTTTAAAGAATTAAAATTTCTGAATTTAGTTCAACTTATAATACCCCTTTTCCAAGAAAAATGAACCTTTTGCAAAGACATTTAAATAAAATCATACCAAGATGCACAAAAATGAAATTGTCCAAAACTTCTTGTAAAGAAAAAAAAATCATTAAAGCATATACATAAAAATATTAGCTAGGGAAGAACAAAATTAAATAGCATCTTACTCCTCATTAGAAAGAAAAAAAAGGACCAAAGGTGTAAGAAACTAGATTAATTAAAGGACTGAAAGAAAAGATCTGTTCTCTTT